TTGTGCCTCCTATGGAAGAAAAATTCTCCTAGTTTAGAATTCCCAGCATGGAGAGCTAAGTTATATGCTTATTTCACTCATTAATTACTTGAGCCACTGCCTTATCACATCCTATTTATATTGTCATCATTTGCACAGTCTAAGGGAAAATACAGGATAGTGAGGTCAATTCATTCACAGCAACACTATACACTAAAATTTCTGTGACTTGAATGGGTTCACAAACTGTTTGGTGTGCATTCAATTTTCTATCATGTTGTGTTGAAATGTTATTGATTTTTAAAAAGGTTTTTGAAGTGAACTGAAAAATTCCCCTTTTAAGAATATTAGAACACTAGTTTCCTAATATAATATCAAAAATATTAAAGGGGCTTGTGAATAATCATAATTGACAGAACATTCGCATTCATTTATGTTTTATAATTCTGTACACAGAATTACTAGGAGAATTGGCTTGGGTTGCTATTCGTGTGAAATATTTAGACATACTATCTATGCCAAACTGACTGCATCTGTGAACATGTAATGTTTTTCTGGTCTGTCATAACTAGGGAATTTAGCTGTGAGAAGGATATTTTGGTTCCTTACATCACTGTCCACCAAATTAAAACTTTATAAATACCTTTCTATGTTTTTTTCATCTTTCATGTTGAATTTTCTGAAATTATTTCACGTCGTTAAGGTTATTCCCTTCTTTTAAGTTTGCCCGTGCGCTCGTCCAAGAAGGTAATAATTGCTACCACCTCAATGGCTATCTCAAGGATTAAGACAGCTCTTAGACCCAGTGCTTAGCACATAAGACACTCAATATTGGCTAAAATTAGCATAAAATATGTGATTGAATAAAAAGTAAATATAGTTGATGCTTATAGATGTCTGGCCATAATGATGTTATATAAGATACCTTTCTCACTTGATGTTTTCAGAGGGTTTTAGAACCTCTCAGTTAAACATTTACGTATATCAAACATAAATGGTAAATATTTCCCTTTACTCTCTTTCCAAACATAATGTTCCAGAATTATTTCAGTCACATTCATTATTTAAAATCTGAAAGTAATTAAGAAAGTATCAGTAAGCATATGTCCACCAGGATTCCGCGTGATTTGTACCTTTTGGTGACGTGTAGTTCACCAGGTGGCTTTCTTTCAGAGTGACAAGCTCAAGTCCTTACATGTAGGCGTACGAGCTACAAATAGTAGCCATCTGCCCCCGCTCACTGACGCCAGCCCCACCGGCCTCCCCGCTGCACTTTACCCAGAGGCTTTGTCTAGGCTCCCCGCTGCCTGCAGGGTCCTCCCTGATAAGACTCCAAGGCGGACCCCCGTCTTTCCTCAAATGCTGACTCTCACGAACCTGTTCACTGTGCCCTCCATAGGAGAATCCCGGTACCTCCTCATCTCCTTTACACCGTCATACTTCTTTCCCTCCCTGAAACACTTTTTGACATTTGCTTCCTGATAAGTGAACGGAAGGCCGGGAGCACACTATTAGGTTCCGAAGGCAGAGGTTGAGTTGTTTGTTGAACAGGCATCTTCTCCACCAAAAGTGCCTTTGCCCCTATAATTATCCAGTTGTCAAATTCTTCGCCACATTTTTCAAAGAAAGCATATTGGCATAAAGGAAAATGTGTATGTTGAGGAAATGACGTTCTAATACCACACTTCGGGTTTAGAGAGCCCCTTTCTTCCAAAAATGCTAACTTTGCATCAAAGCATATGAGCTCATTCATCTCGTCTTCATCTCTGGTTGGTCCGAACAGCCCAGTTCATTCGCGAAGCCCAGGGCAGGAAAGGTGGAGTGGCTCACACAGGTCGCACAGATAGATGGTAGTGCTGCTAAGAAAAGCAGCCGGATGTTCTCTTAGCTTCATACGTCATTGTCTGCGGAGCTGGACTGGAGGTTAGCCCTCATTACTATAAGTTGTCTCCTCATCTCATCAGTCACGTTTCTCCATCAGTTCATACCCAGTGGCAAAGGAAACGAAGAGATAAATGTAAAACTTACCCAGGCTTTTTATAACTTTTTTGCCTTTCAATCTAAAGATGAAAAATATTATTTTTAGGCGATGAGAAAGTGAACAAAACAGTTTCAGGCCTTTATCTACAGAAACAATACGAATGTGTCTTCTCAGTCTTAGAGGATGAGCAAATTTTAATATGACTGTAATTAAATATTGTGACTATGAAAGGAATGTTAATTTTTTACAGCAGGTGAAAATAATGTGACAATATATGGCACTAGCACAGTGGGGGCAGAGCTAATCTGAGCCTACCAGAACCACTGTAGATTTCCCTTTCTGCTCAGAGACCTGAAGTTCAGGGCGGCTGGTCCGTTTTAACACGCGGGCCTGCCGGAGACCAGCCCAGCAGGTTGTTAATCCTGCTCGTGCTGACGCCGCTGCCCTGTTTTTAAGTGGACGTTGGTTCTCGGGGTATATATTCTTCTCTCAGCTCAGTTATGAATCTTCAGAGAACTAAAGACCCTGGACATTCAAAGGCCTTCTTTGCGGCGTTGCTTTGTGGGGCACCGACTTCTCCCTCTTCTGTGAGCTCACTTTAATTTACCTCGTACCCTTTCTTTCCCCTCTTTAGTAGCAATCGTTCAAACGTCAAGAATAATTTATTTTTTTTCTTTTTGAACCCAGTAACATTCTTTAAGCTACATCAGAGTTGTGGGTTTTTTGTTTATTTTTCCCATGATACAGAAA